TACACCCCCCCCCCCCCCCATTGACCCCTTTTCCCCGCACCCGCCCCAGACCTTTACCACACTATTATCTGTGTTCATGGGTTATGCACACAAGTTCTAACCAAAAATAACTTTGACAAATGATACAAATGAGCAGGTACTCTTAATACTATTATGTTAGGTTGGCGTGCCATAAGCACATAAATTATAAACAACATATATAATTAAATTTTAAAATTAAAAAATATAAAATATAAGTCTAAAAAATTACCTTGTGAGAGAAGTTATTTCGTAAGTTAATTAGAATGGTTAAATGACCATCAAGTTTATTAATCAATTAAGTTATTATGCTTATTGGTAATATTCATGCAGTTCTCTGATAGCCTTTTGCAGGATTGGTATTAGTGTTCAAGAGAGCTCTGGTTTTGGAATCCCTGGGCATACACTGTCATTACATTACTGTTGGTGTTACAAAAGTCTTGATTGTGTCATTTTCTCTAGGTATCTTATTTTTTTAGAATCCAGTTGTAAGCCTGAGTTTTCTGTCAATAATATTTAAAAATGAAGAAACATGAGAATTTATTTCTCCTAAACAAAAAGATTAATGTGAAGGCCATCAAATAGAATTGATTTCCAAATTCTCTTTAAGTTTATATCATATTAATCATATAATAGTTATTCCAAGTTCAAATTTTATTGTAACAGAGAAAATTCTTCCTCCTCTTTGGCTCCTACTGATAAGGTTAAATGAGACACTGCATATAAAAATGTATTAACTGAAACATGTTCTTATTAACCAATGTTACCTAATATATTTAATTAAATAAAAATGTAATAGAGATGCTAGGAAAGCTTAATTTTTATTATCTACTTTTTATTTATAACATTGAATCCTTAATATTTACTTTTTGCTGGGGAAAATATTTACTAATTGTGGTAGTATGGATGAACGTCACATTGCTGAAAACCAGAGTCCTTCCTGTCCGACTGGTTTTCTTGGTTCAGTGGATCCTTTTCGCTCTTACAGCAAAAGAAGCTAGCCTTTGTTAGTGATTCTCTTGCTTTCTGGATAGAAACCTTATTTATCATTTAACGTTTTTGTGAGGCCTATGTGTCAGGCATGTTTAGGAGAAGTGGTACAAAGTATACAATTGCCAAAGTGGTCCATATCTAGTGCTAATTCGAATACAATGTTGTAAGTGCACTAATAGAGCTATGCAGAGAACATTATGGGCTCATGAGTGGGGAGAGGGTACTTAAGTAGACTGATGAACCAAGAAATATCTTCCCTAGGGTACTTAAGTAGACTGATGAACCAAGAAATATCTTCCCTAACAGCTTCATAGTATTCACTGAATACAAACTCTTATGTCAGACCCATGGGGTATAAAGATGAAAAGATAGTCCATGCTCTCCTGGAGTCTAACTCAGGCAGAGGAGTAAATAGGCAATTGGAATACATGTGTAAAAGCAGTATAGGGCGTAGATAGAAGAGACATTTAATCTAGTCTTGGTATGTCAGGATAAGTTTCCTGGAAAAGTGGTGTTTATTTTAGAGACTAATCTGAGTCTTCAAGGCAGAGAAGAAAGACGCATCTAGTCAAGCAGCTGAAGATAAAACTGGAGAGGCAAGCAACAAAGTAGATTTATAAAGAGCCCTGAGCCCTTTACCAGCAGTTTCCCTCGACACACTTAAAACCCAGAGTTCTTACCATGTCAGTAGAGTCTGTTATTATTTGGCCCTCTCTACCTCTCATATCTCATTTCATGCAATTTCTTGTGGGCAACCTCAATGGCCTTCTTTTAGTTCCAGTAACATATAACTCTCTCGCCTCAGAGCCTTTGATCTTGCTATTGCTTCTGCTGTGAATGCTCTCTCCATGGCTCTTCTCAACCTTTTGTCATTTTTGTCATAACTTAGATCTCACTTTCTTAGAGAGGCTATCCCTAACCCCCTCTACCTAAAGTATAAAGTAGGCTTCTCATAACTCTCCATCTTAGTGCCTTATTATTTTTCTTCATACCTCTGATTACAATTATTATTTAAAAGATTGTAAGTTTTTTTGTTGAATTGTTTATTCTGTCTTCTTACGCCACACTGTTAGGCTTCATGAAGGTAGGAATCATGTCTGTCTTATTCACTGGTAAGTTCCAGCACCTGGAGTAGTGCCTAGCACATAGTAAGTGCTAAGTAAAATGTTTATTAAATGACTGAACAAATTCAGTAATCTTAGTGTTTAGTACAGTGGTTCTCAACCTTCTGGCCCTTTAAATACAGTTCCTCATGTTGTGACACAACCATAAAATTATTTTTGTTGCTACTTCTTAACTGTAATGTTGCTACTGTTATGAATCGTAATGTAAATATCTGATATGCAGGATGGTCTTAGGCAACCCCTGTGAAAGGGTTGTTTGACCGCCAAAGGGGTCACGACACACAGGTCCAGAGAACCACTGGTTTAGTATGATGCTATTTTAAGAATTAGGAGTGCTGTTTTAAGATCTTCAGCTAGTCAGTGGTTCTCAACAGGCATCTAGTGGGTAGAGGTCAAGGTTGCACAAAACATCCTGCAATGCACAGGACAGCCCCCATTCTCCCACAGCAAAGAATTATCCAGTCCAAAATGTCAAATTAAGAAAGCCTATAGTAGATGATGATTGACCAGATCTGTGTTTTTAATCACCTTCTCTGAGTTGATGCTCTGGACAAGATATAAGACCTTGGGGGCTTTTAGTTTTCTTATCTATAGAGACATGTCAGATTTATCTGGTACAGTATTGAATGGCACAAGCTCTGAGAATAATTTTTTTTTCTCAGTTGTATGTGGGACAGCCAGCACCCCTTTATTCATATTTTTGGTTCTTAATTTCAATCACTCATCTATATGAAACTTGTCATACTCAGAGGTCATGTAGTTTGGCAGAATTATAAATTACATTTGTAGCAAAAGTTCTCTGAATAAAGGCCTAAGATCAAGCAGTTATTAGCTAATTTGTTATAAACAAATGATCAGTGGCATAATAATTAGTCTGCTTGCACACTCTTAGAAATACAGAAGTACCGACTGGTTGTTTTTTTTCTTTTTCTAGACCTTTATCCTAAAATCTTATCACTGAGTATAGGAGTTTTGTAGGAATAAAGAAATCTTAGAATGAAAGTATTTTGACTAGTGTAGACTTTTTATTTTAGGAACAAATGATGAGAAAGAAACAAGCAATGCATCTTGATGCAAGATATGTCACAATGGTAGAGAATGCATATTACTACTGCAACCCACCTCCAGCCGAAAAAACAGTGAAAAAGAAACGTCCTCCTCTCCAGGAATATATCCGGAAACTTTTGTACAAGGATCTTTCCAAGGTCACCACTGAGAAGGTAAATCTTAATGGAATCATGGAATAATGGTCAACGTGAGATTTGTGGTAGTTATATAATATTCAACTAAATTTTTTTCCATCCTAATGATAATAGTATTAAAAGCAGTGTACTTTCCTTCTAGCCTGTGCATGAAATTTTAGGTCAGGGACATATATTTCAGTTTTCCTAGATCAGTTTATTTATAAATTGCTTCAGTGTCCCATAAATTATAGGTAAGAAATGCAGGTACTTTGCATTGTTCACATTTTGTAAATGGAGAAATTAAAGCAGAGCTGTTCAAGTCTCAAGAGTGAAGTTTAGGAGATTTGGGATTAGATCCCAAGGCCCATTATGATTGACTCTATACAAATCACACTAAGAAATAATAGATATGTTGATACATAATATATGGGACAATATTTTGTTTTCCTATTATGATAACTTCTTAATTAAAAGGGCCATTCTTCTAAATTAAATTTTTTTTGACATAGAGTTTCAAAAATATATATAACATCAAAATTTAAATTTGCCTTTACATATTTTTCTTGAGAGTAGGGGCTCTTAACCTTGAATGGGTGTTAGGAAGCCCATGGCCCTCTAAAATTACATAGTTTTGAATTCTGGGCCTGTCTGTATTTTTCTGGAGATAAGGTCTGTGGCTTTCTTCGGATTCTCAACAGGAGTCACTTTCCAGAAAAGTTTAAGAACCACTGATCTGTTAACTGAATTATTGTAGTTACCTTACTAGAAACCTCACTTTTAAGTAAGATATGTTGAGCATAACATTTCTTGGTTTATTCTACAAGTTGAAACAATACAATGTAGAACTTCTTTCTTTTTAGGAGATAAAGTAATGGAAATTAACTTCTGGACAGAAAATACATCTGGGGAGGATAAAATGAAATAATAGATGGGTGGGAGAAAAGGTAATAGGAATGATAGTGCAGCTTTGAAAACTGAAACCAACTTTCAGAGAGTCGGAAAAATAGTTGTTTGAAACAATAAGGATTTTGATAGCTGTTTAGAATTGACTAGAATTGTAATCATTTGGTAAAATTTCCTGTAAGCAGATCCCTTTTTTTGTAGGCTTATTATTAATTTGTGGACTATAGAGAAAATAAGTTATATGGGGCTGATAAGGGAGAATTGCAATTTAATGGTTTGATAGACTATCAAATATAGAAAAATAGAGAATACTTACGAAGTTGAGATGACATTAACATTGCCAGTGAAGCTGATATGAGAAAATATTTAGTACTTAAAAGATGGATTGTGGATATAGAAATGAAAGGACTACTCTGCAATCTGCCAATAATATCTATATTCTTTCAGAATCAAAATGGATAGAACTTGATGATAGGTAGAGCTCTGCTAATTATCTCATTGACAGTATGGTCTTTGAAATCGTAATACCTAACTTTTATGGGGTTATTTATAATGTGGCAGACACTTTCCTACATACTTCACATGTTTTAACTTGTCTAATCCTCACAACAAACTAGCAAGTGCTTTTATTATCCCCCCTTTTACATATGAGGAAACAGGACACTGTAATGTCAGTCTTGAGGTTATGTCTCCATTTTAAGTGATCTTTTAACCAATTAAACTTGGGTTTATTTATTTATTAATGGAAATTTTTGATTTTTAAAAGAAGTGTCTAAGATTATTTAGAGTAAATGAAGCACAAAAGAAATCTTATTTTTGGTGAACCTTGGGAATTTTTTTCAGTGACTTTAGTGTATGAGTATATACTGTTAGCTTGATTGAAGACTTAGAAACTCTAGGAAATACAGGGACATTATAGAAAGATGGAGGAAAAATGAATACCATTGTGAATACCAACGTGAATACCATATCTAAACAGTCAATAATTAGAAAAATCTCATGTTTAATCTCTAACGTGAAAAATCTGATAGAGGATCTCTGAAGTATTTCCCATTTCAAAAGTTCTTTATCTGCATTATCATAATAACATATCTATATTATTGGGTATATTGGATTATATACTTTTCTAGTAATTTAAACAAAATTCTCTTTGTTTAGGTTTTGAGACAGATGCGAAAGTTGCCCTGGCAGGACCAAGAAGTGAAAGATTATGTTATTTGTTGTATGATAAACATCTGGAATGTGAAATATAATAGTATTCATTGTGTGGCAAACCTCTTAGCAGGACTAGTTCTCTACCAAGAGGATGTTGGAATCCATGTTGTGGATGGAGTTTTAGAAGATATTCGATTAGGAATGGAGGTAACACAAACTTTCTTTAAAGTTGTCAAATTGGAGTTTTGGAAGAATTTAAATAACTTTTAAATCCTATCATTGAAAAATAAGAATTTGAAGACCTTCTTTTATCTATGTGGTGTCTTTTACTATTACCTCTTCAGAATTAGTGGTTTCTTCATAAACCCTGCTGTTCTAGATTTACTGTGCTTCCTTCTCTCAGGCTAATCCTGGGATTTATTTTGCCTCTTTTTCTCAAGTCCTGTGAAGCTTATTTTGGAAGAATATAGTACATTTTTATTATTTCTGGGTTACTATTGGGAAAATAAATTTATTAATTAGAAGAATTGTAATCCATTTGGTAAAACTTCCTGAAGCAGATCCCTTTTTTTTGTAGGCTTATTGTTAATTTGTGGACTATAGAGAAAATAAGTTATATGGGGCTGATAAGGGAGAATTACAATTTAATGGTTTGATAGACTATCAAATCAATTCACTTAATGATAGCTAAATACCAAATTTAATATTTAACATTTTTTTATTAAACTTTTTAAAAAAATTGATTTAAATAACATCGATTGTCTGCCTTCCACATGTGCCCCAACCAGGAATCAAACCTGCCACCCTTTCATGCATGGGATCAACAGAACTACACAAGCCAGGGCAATTTTTTTTTTTTTTTTTTTTTTTACATTTTGTAGATACACATTTCCTAAAGAGAGAAAAAGGATACTCACAAGTGACCACCTTATTAGAAAAGAAGCAAAGAACCCATTAATTTTTCTCTGTTCAGCGTTTCTTCAGTAATTGATACTGTCAAGTGACAGAGGGGAATTTTGCCTCTTTTTACCACATTACTGTTCTTTAATGCAAATCTTGTCTTTTTTTTTTCTTTTAGGTTAATCAACCTAAATTTAATCAGAGACGTATCAGCAGTGCCAAGTTTTTAGGGGAACTTTATAATTACCGCATGGTGGAATCAGCTGTTATTTTTAGAACTCTTTATTCTTTTACTTCATTTGGTGTTAACCCTGATGGCTCTCCGAGTTCACTGGACCCTCCTGAGCACCTTTTCAGAATTAGACTAGTGTGCACTATTTTGGATACTTGTGGCCAGTACTTTGACAGAGGTTCCAGTAAACGAAAACTTGATTGCTTCCTTGTATATTTCCAGGTATATAAGCTGAAATATGCAGTTTGGCACCATTTAATACATTGGTTGTGTTACAAAAATATTCGAGCAGAAACATAGCATTCACATAGCACATATGAGATATGTTCATAATTAGATTAAATTTGATTTATTCTTCCTGCAAAGATGCTTTAGAGATTTAAAAAATTTGATGAATTTTATAATATAAACATTCTAATTCCATTGTAACTTTTATGATTGATTGTTAATTTTGAAAATTATTTTGGTGTACTTTATAAATTTGGAATGGTAATTTATGAATTATATTTGGTACAGTAACTTAAGAATTAAAAAACTTGTGATTTTTACATGTACATTTTTATCATTTATCTGTGTTCTGGCTTTATATATGAAATTATTTTTAAATGATATAACTTTTTTTTTTTAAAGAAAAAACTCACTTTGGGGAAGACGTTTTTAACATGAAAGAAACTCGAGTTGTGATTTTCATATCTTAATTTTATGTAAGCTTATGATTTAGAGCAAGTGTAGTATAAATTGAATTCAGGTACAAATACAGAGATGTTTCTACAATTCCTATAAAGTAGGTGTTCCAACAGTTAACTTTGTAGGTTGATTGTTTGGAACCCAATCACTGTTTCCCATAAAATACTGAGCAGGGTGAACAATTCACTGTTGAATTGTCTAGATGTTGTTGAAAGAAGGTATCCATAGTACCATTAAAGTCTATATGATCACTACTTCTAGTATTGTTTTCACTCATCCATTGATGAAGAAAATACATTTAAAACTAAAACTGGAGGTGTAAAAATACATCCACATAGTGGCTGGTCTTAAGTGGGGGTAAATGTTCTTGGGGAAGAGCAGTTTATTAACTTTATCTTACCATGAGGAAGGGGATTGCACATTTGAGAATCAGATTCCCTTTGTCTCTAAGAACTGTCTTAGGTTGAAGACTGCCTGTATTGAAAACCAATTTTGCTGCAAAGTGTTAGCTGTAATTGTCAGCATCCAAAGTAGAATCTGTTTCAGAAGAGAATCCTTATTTGCGTTTAATCTGACATCCCAAGTGGAGAGAAAAGGGCTATCCCAGTATATCCAAGAGACAAAGAGACAGAGGCATTTTCCACATTGATTAACAGGCAGAAATATGCAGCAGGCTTAAACTTGAGGGGATGAAGTAAGAAGTGAGGCCTGGGGATGAGGTCAGTGTGTTCTGCCTAGAACGTATAGTGAACAGTTATGTCTTGGAAGGCCAGGTAGAAAGGATCACCCATAGTAGTGCTTCTAAACTCTAATGTGCATACACTTTACCTGGGAATAGTATTAAAATGCAGATTATTATTAAATGGGTCTGGGGTGTGGACTTGAGATTATGCATTTCTAACAAGCTCCAGTTGAGGTCTGCAATTTTGAGTAGCAAGGACCTAGAACAAACTGGGGAAAGAAGAGTGAAGCACCCAGAGGATTACCTGCTTATACACAAGTAAATTCCTGGGTTGTGCTCTTCAATTAATGTTAACTTACAAAGTATAAAACAGAATGAGGGACCCAGGTAGGAGAAGAGAGGGAAAATATCTAAACAGTGCCATATAACACAGTAGGTGTTCAATAAATGATTGTTGATTAATGATTTTTATATTTAAAACCCTATATATTTAGATACTTTAATTGACCTTTTTAAAAATCAAAGCAGGTATTATAGGGAAAATGATGAACATTTATCAAAACTATGTTTTTGAATCTGGTTGTTTTGTAAACTTTAACATTTAAACCCAGTTTGGGAGTGGGGTTTCTGACTTGTTTCATTATCTGAAAATTTATTTGGTATTTTATTCACAATTTTTCCTTGTCTTTAAAAAGATTATGACAATTATAATAAAACAGTATTTAGATTCAAGTCACCAAATGGCTTAGAAACTGTAGATGGAGGGAAATAATTGGAATTAGGATCATTGCTGTCGACCATTAATGAAAATGGTAGGTGTCTTGTACAACTTTTTAGCTTAGTTGTTATAGTTGGGTGAAGTCACATTACAGATTATTATTTAAAATATTTTGTTATTAATATTTTATAGCTAAATTTATTTTTTATTTGTCATCAGCGTTATGTTTGGTGGAAGAAAAGTTTGGAGGTTTGGACAAAAGATCATCCATTTCCTATTGACATAGATTACATGATCAGTGATACACTAGAACTGCTGAGACCAAAGATCAAGCTTTGTAATTCTCTGGAAGAATCCATCAGGCAGGTGCAAGACTTGGAACGAGAATTCTTAATAAAACTAGGTAAGCAATTAATTACAGAGAGACAATGAAAGTGATATTTGGCAGATTGTTTTTAGAATTTGCTTTATAATGTTATCAGACTTTACCTTTGTATACTTTCCATTTTTATATTGAGTGTTACATAATATTAGGTAAGACATATGGGTGACATATTTTTTGATTTCATAAAATAATCCCAAATTGGAGGTAAATACTTATGTAAGAATTGAAGCCAATGATAGTGATGAATAAATACAATCCTGTTGGCCTCTCTTAATTTTAGAATTTTTGGTTGCTAATATAAAATCTACTTTTAATTAGAGTACCTCTTACAATACAGTATGTAACTGCAACAAGCGTTATTTCTTAAGACATTGTAGGCTAGAAACTATAGAAGGGGATACCTATTAGAAGTTTGGAACTACCCTACAGAATTTCAGACCTTATTCACTGGGAGAGTTGTCTCTATTTCTAAGGACTAGAGAAAATGTGAGAAATATGCTACAGGAGAATTGGTCTATTTACTTTCTCTGTGTCCTTTTGAATTTGTTGTGGAAGAAGAGGTAGCTCTTAAAAAAAATATGTTTATTGATTTTAAAGAGAGAGGATGGGAGAGGGATAGAAATATCGAGTAACTTAGTCGGCTGCCTCCTGCACGCCCCCTACTGGGGATCAAGTCCACAACTGGGCATGTGCTCTGACCAAGAATAGAACTGAGGACCTGTGGGTTCATGGGTTGATGCTCTACTACTGGTCCACACCGGCTGAGTAGGAGCTAGTTCTTGAATAACTCTCATGAGGGACTGTAGGAGCTAACTAACTTTGTCAGTGGAAATAACTGGAACATGTAACCTTACTACTCTGATTTACTTACAGATACTTGTTAGCAGGTTTCATTTTAGTCATTTTAAAATGACATGTTTTCAGGCTATTAAGCTAGTATTTTATTTCCTGCTAGCACTTGGGACCCATAAGGCTGTCATTAGGAGATTCTTACCTTCACCAATTATATTAATTGTATAAATTTTCTCCATTGCATATCTGAAGAACTACTTTTCATGGTGAAAACATTTGGTACTTTTTCCCCTCTAAAACTATTTTTTCATATTGCATCCAGCATATCAGTAGGGTTTCTTTCTCCATAGGTAAATTCTCTTTTGGAGAATATGATTGCTGATATCTATTCGAGCATTAATTTTAAAGGTGTTTCTGATTATGCAACTATTAACTTTTCTTAATACTCAGACCATAAAGACATATGTGCTTCTTTTTGTACTTTGCCCCAAATCATCTACCCTCTTTTCCTTTTTAGACTTCTAGTTGTATAAAATTATCATTTTAAGCAAAGTGCTTATTTATTTATTTATTTCATTAACTTTTTATGCTTTGAAATAGTTGAGTGTTAGCCTTGTTTCTCAAAGATCTTTATGAATGATGCTCTGTATAGTGGGCATGAGGGAATACTAGTTTGACACCCAGTTTGGTAGCAGTAAAGAGAGCAATGTGCTTTATCCTTTATTGACTGAAGGTTAAATTAAAGGACTTCAGACTCCCTTGAGGAGTCTGTTTAGAATATGGAAAGGGAAAAATAGGTCAGCATTTGCAAGTGAAACTCTATAAAGATGGTTGCAACTGGAAATTATACTATGAAGCTGTCCCAATTTAATTCTGTTTTAAACAGTCTTTAAGTATCAGGAAGAAGAGCTACATTAAAAACCTATATTAAATCTATTTCCTATTGATTAAATCCAGAAGATAATACAGAATCAAGAGCCTTTACTAGTTTTTCTGATTCCAAGCATGTAACAAATTCATTATCTCGGTTTTATAGCAACATAATTCTAGCATAATAGTTAATGGATAAACACTAAAAATTTCTCATAATTATGCTTAACAATAGTTTTAAATAATTTTTAATATTGTTAAAAGTAATATATGTTCATGGCAGAAATTTTGAAAAATAAGACAAAAATCACTGATACTTCATACTTAAGGATAATTATGTATTAACATTTTGATATATTTTCTTTTATTCTTTAAATATTTTTCTAATGTTTATACAATTTTATAAGTGGATTTCCCCTACATAATACATTATGAAATTTCTTCCTTGCATAAAGTATTTCTCTAAACCTTTATTATATTTTTTAAAAACTGGCTATATTCCTTCGTATAAATGTACCATAATTTATGTAATTCCTGTTGTTTGACACAGATTATTTCAAATTTTGCACCACTATAAATAACACACTTGAGTTATATTCTTGTGCATCTTGATTTCTTAGCATAGACAGAATTATTGGCAAGTACATTCTCTTTAAATTTAATAACAAAATTAAGATGGTAATAAGCAATATTGTTTAATTCTGACTTGGAAGTTCTAACTAGTCCTAAATAATAATGGCTAATATGCAAATTGACTAAATGGCGGAATGACCAATCGCTATGACACGCTCTGACCACCAGGGTGCAGACGTTCAATGCAGGAGCTTCCCCTTGGTGGTCAGTGTGCTCCCACAGGGGGAGTGCCACTCAGCCAAAAGCTGGGCTCACGGCAGGCGAGTGCAGCGGTATTGACGGGAGCCTCTCCTGCCTCCACAGCAGTGCTAAGGATGTCTGACTGAAGGCCTAAGCCATCAGTTGGAAATTTCCGAGGGCTCCCAGACTGCGAGAGGGCACAGGCTAGGCTGAGGGACCCCCCACCCCCAATCCTGCTGAGTGCACGAATTTCATGCACTAGGCCTCTAGTATTATAATAAAAGTAACAAAAATGAGGGAAATAAAGTGAAAAAAGGAAAGAAGCCATAAGAATAAATTATATTATAAATTTAAAGAGTGTATTTCATAAATTAGAAATAAAATCAGTAGGATAGATAAAAGGCCCAGAAGTTGTCCAGTTAAATTCAGAACAATCATTTATGGTGAGCCAGGAATATTAAAGATAGGATAAGGGCAGCAAGTGAACATTTGGGAGGAGAATTTGATAGAGTGCCACATCTTATATCGCCAAACTCTAGGTGGTTTAAAGAGTTAAATATTTGCCCTAACCAGTTTACCTCAGTGGATAGAGCGTCAACCTGTGGACTCAAGGGTCCCAGGTTTGATTCCGGTCAAGGGCATGTACCTTGGTTGTGGGCAAATACCAGTAGGGAGTGTGCAGGAGGTAGCTGATCAGTGTTTCTCTCTCATCGATGTTTCTAACTCTCTATCCCTCTCCCTTCTCAAAAAATTCAATAAAATACGTTTTTTTAAAAAGTTAAATACTTACTCTTTCAAAGTTAAAAATAGTTCTGATTATCATATATTTTCAGAGGTTAATTTTCTCAAATTTAAAATGATAGAAGAAAGCATATGTATAGATTTAGGTTTTTAAAATGTACAATAAAAATTAATATGAAATTAGTTTTCTTGCTAAGTTGTTAACACTTACATAAAGAACACAGGTAAATTGGTAATAAAATAGAATACCCCAATAGAAAAATGAACAGGACATAAATAAGGGAGAGCAGGGAAGAGTTGGTGTTTTTATTGAGTACTGCCTGATTGCCAGAATGATAGAGGAAGGTAATATTACTGATTTTTGACAGATGAGTTTAAAGCCAAATCAAAATACTAGGTTAAGCAATCAAGTCAGCTCTGCTCTTTCTGACATGTTAAGTATTTGGGGGAAATGCTCAGCATGTCTAGTAAACAGAGAAATGTAAATTAAAACACAATCTGAAAGGAAGTACTATAGTTTATTACTATCTATGTTATGAGCATGAAAATGGAGGCATCAAGCAGCTCAAATTTAAGAGGACAGTATTTGATTTCTGTCTCCAAGTACACTTAATTCTGACACAGACATTTAAATATTTTACAGTCTAGAGTTTGCATTTTGTCATCCCTGTTTTTTATATATACACTAGAAACCTGGTGCATGAATTCCTGCATGGGTAGGATCCCTGTGGGTGGCCTGCAAGGGATCGGGCCGAAACCCGCAGTCCAATGTCGCCTGCAGCTCCTACCTGCTGCTCCTGCTCATCCCGGCCCCACTGTGCCTGCCGCGGGCTTGTGCCCAATCAGTCCCGATCAGGAGAGGCTTGCGCTGCCACAGCAGCCCTCGCCAGCCATGAGCCCTGAGTCTGGCAACCTTTCAAGGGGAGTGGCCTGTGGGATCGGGTTGAAATCGGCTCTCTGACATCCCCCGAGGGGTCCTGAATTTCGAGAGGGCACAGGCCAGGCTGAGGGACCCCACCAGTGTGCGATTGGGCCAGGGAGGTACAGCAGGAGGGCTCCGGCGCATGTCCAACCCATCTCACTCAGTCCCAATCGGATGGACCCCAGCAGCAAGCTAACCTACCGGTTGGAGCGTCTGCCCCCTGGTGGTCAGTGCACATCAGAGCTAT